ATTTCATGTCAGCCCAGTAAACAGCTTTTCATGTGTTTCTTTGGAAGATAGTGGATTAGAGGAATCCCTCAAACATCTCATTTGAAGTGTCTAGAATAATAATATTTGTATCAAAATTAAACTTCTACCTGTCCCCTTCACAGAGTTAAAAGACATAGCAACTTCATATAACACAAGTAACATGAGGCTGATAGGTTTGGGAGTTTGGGAAAAGATGCAACTGTGCCCATAACAGTGATCCTTGCGACCTGCGCATCAGAGCTACAGACATGCACAGGGTGGGGGGATCTCTGTGTTGCCATAGAAACGTCTACTTTCCTTTTCTGCTGGAGGGAAGAGGAGACACATAGCTGTAACTTTCTCCATCATTCTGTGTGGCAGCAAACCACCTTTAAGCCACTGAAAGGACTAGAGGTAGAAAATCTTACTCTGCTTAAATATAAGCTGAATCCTAAACTTAACACTAACTTAGCAATAACACTTAACTATCAAGTCTCACTCACAGTAAAGTCACATTCTAAGCTATGGAAGGTGCCTTGATTAAAGGTGGGGGGGTATAAACGAGAATGGGACAGCCTTTTCCCTCCATCAGAAAAAGAAAGCAGTCGTTGCTAAGGCAACACAGTGAGGCCCCATGTGAGTAGCTGTAGGGTGACAAGATATAACATTTGCCCCTTTCTTAAAAGAAATCTATTAGATCAAATAAAGCTATTTCAAAATGGACCTTCCCTTATGGACTTAAGTTTTTTTCTTATACCTAACATGTGATTTTTCATCAGTGTGCTAAAGATGCAGCAAACTGGTGGATCTTACATTTAAATGCAGGCATTTCCTCAGTCATCAAGCCGCCGTTACACCTGCTGCCAAATTCCAGCGAGCCTGCACTTATGCAGACTCGCTATTTAAGGGCTGAACGTTCCTCTCGCCCTACCTACTAAGTGGTTTGGGACGGCACTTAATGCTGAGGGGTCAGTGCTTAGGGAACTGTTTGGGATTGGGCATTTTGTGGCCAAAATTGGGAGCCTCTCCCATTTACAAATTGCATTTTTTGTTAAATTGCAATTATATTGTAGTTCAATAACAATCATTACTTGTCAATTCATGATATGATGTCACCCAGGACACAAAATGATGGCAGAAATAGCTTTTTCAATGACTCCATGAGGGAAAGAGACTCAATTAAACACAGACAAGAAGGGAATGGACCGAGAGTTAATAGCTTATTTAGATTCTTTATTGACCAGACACAGAAATAGACTGATCCTGGAGAACTTTCTATGGGCTTCACAGAACAAACAGAAGCTATTGCTGCTAATAGGAGCCCACTGTTGTTTCTGTGGGATAAAAAACAACTTAATGGTCACATTAACTCTGCTGTTTTAGTGATACGAGCAAAAACAAGGACAGCAATGCTATTCTAATCTGCCTCCTAACGATAATGCTTGATTTTTATTTCAGGTTAGAAAGCAGCCCAAAGCAGCTGGTCTGTGTGGAGATGCTGAAAGAATGCAACTACAAGTACGATGGCTTCACGGCTCTACTGTTACTCCCGCTTATTCGATCACAACGACTGACCTAGCTTTGAGTTTCAGGTCGTTCGAAGAGCTCATCACGCTGTTGCGCTTAGATCGGGATCAGAGAAAAAACGCTCGGCCGTTTTCAACCAGGCTGAAGGATACGCCTCTGGAGGAACAGCGGGAAAAACTGGAGACCATGGCCTTCTACCTGAGCCGAGCGGAGAAGGCGGAAAGAGAAGGTAGTAAGCTCTGCTATCTCCTGGATTTAGTAGAGGCAGAAGACAATTTTCATCTGGAGATCAACGTTTAATATTAAGATTTCCTAAATATTAGACTGATAAAATGACAGTTGGAAGACTTGACTTCAGAGTCCTCTGTTTTTAGTTTAAGTTCTTTTTTGTGTGCAGGCTTGTGGAAGCCATCCTGTGAGGAACGTCTGCATTTAGGTCACTACTTCTTCAGTCAGAAGGATCTGTGGCTCAGTTTTTATTTCTACCAAAGCTGTGCTAACAACGAGCGTGGAGGAAGATCCAAACTGGCTACAGAGGCCAGACTGCGCATGGCCGAGATTTACCTGCAGCAAGGTAGGCATCATGCCCAAACATCTGTAGGTGTGGAAACAGAGAAGATTTAGGAGGTTGTGTTCTGTCCTGCAGGTGATCTGGAGGAGTCCAGGCTGCAGGCGGAGAAGAGCCTGAAACAGGCGGAGGAAGGAGGCTGGTTGGACTCAGACGGTCGGCCTATGAAGCTCTGGGCCTGCACACACCTGGGAAGAATCTACTGTTTGCTGGCTGACGCTTCCCTCGCAGCGGCTAACTACAACACAGCCAAGAGGCTGCTGGACCGAGGCTTCAAAGTTGTCACAGACGGTTCGTAGGAGGAGATGTAGGAGTTTTATTAAAGATTTCTGCTATTCCAGTAATTCTACAGTTGGCATCAAGATTTATCCAGTGAGATAAAGGAATCATAGCGCCTCACTGCTTTTATTCAGAGAGTCCAGCTTCCCTGGCCCGTAACCTCAAACATATTTCCTCCAGTTTATTGATCCACTTCTTCACATCTTCTGCACTTAGTTCATGTAAGGAGAGACATCTCCATGCTCCTGAAAGGAGGCTCTGAATCAGAGTCGCAAACTCATAGTGAGAATTAGAAGTGGGTGGCTTCAGTATTTAAAAAATGTTTCATCATGAAGCTCTTTGAGGAAGCTGTGCTGAAAATCTTTAAGCACTTATTAAGGGTTTCGTTTTTCAATCCATTTTATAAAACTGGAAATCCTCCACATGAAATATAAAATATTCCTTGAATGAGAAGCAACCAGACGTGGTGAACATGTTGACCGGATGGGCATTTAGTTATTATTTGAAAACTTTAATGTTTTTCTGGTTTTCAAAAAAGAAGCAAAAACCTGTGAGTGTGGAAAAGGTGTAGTTTTTCGTGTTTGTTTCAGTTAAAGACAAGCTGGCTGAGGCGGAGGTGCTCTTCAGACAAGGACTGCTGCTACAGCGGTTAGGAGATCATCCTGCAGCCAGGCAGGTACGCATCATCAGGAGAAAAAGATCAGTATTTATTGAACTAAACTTCACACAACAAAAAGATTTGTTTAAATATTTGTCTTGTTTTTCGGCCTGTTTGGACAGTATGTGATATCGGCTATATGTTCGCTGTGTTTTACAGGTCTTCAGCCGCTGCATGAAGAACTTCAACATGATGCAGGATACAGAAGGACAGGTGAAGACCTACAAGGCCACAGCCAAGTCCTTAGAAAGGTAGAGGCATTCCCTCATCACCAAACACCAACAGAAAACATCTAGAAAGGTTTATTGAGGTATTTTAAGACAGAGCTTAAACTTTCAGGTCAGGGATCCAACTCATGGTAAAACATGGTGGCGGCTGCATCATACTGTGAGGATGAAAATTTGATTTGATTGTTTTCAGTAAGACCAGTTTGTTTTGAGCCCAAAACACCCCGTAGAGAGTGCAGGAGGATGAGTTCAACAAACAGACAGCTTCACCACGACTACAATGAAGTTGTAGTCCTGATGAAGTTGTCTGTCTGTCAGACAGCTGTGTGTCTGTCGGCATAATTATTCTTTCAGGTTGATGCAGCTTTTTTTAATTAGTTGTTTTTGTCAGGAAGATCAAGTCTACAGCATGGATGTCCCATTAAACCCAGAGATATTTTACCTCAGTCATTAAAAAGAAAAAACATTGCCAAACGGGACATCAGAGGCTTTTTTATCCTCATTGTGCTCATAATCGTAATCATAACCTAGATACAGGATTTTTTTTATTGATTCTCTAACATTGTGAGATAGGGATATTTGACAGAATAAGCATTTTCTCCCTAAACCAGAGGGAAACAGCAGTGACTTTTGACAACTTCAGCATCAGACTGAAAAAAGTCTTGAGGTATTAAACTGAAGACAGAAAAACAAAGAAAGAGACAAGAAATGGGAGCCATTCCTCATTGGAAGAAGAAAGTTGAGCATGGGAAGAAGATGAGAGCAGAATAGACACCAGAGGCTGCAGACACACTGCGTGCCTCTGTCAGGGCAGCCATGCAGAGGCAGCATGTCAAGGAACAATTTGTTCAAATATGGTAATTGGATCATGTGTGAGTTTTAACTATAGGTGTATCAGACCTTGGTGTCCCACAGCAGAGGATGGATCAACTTCTGGCGAGTTTTTCAATGGAAAACATCTCCACTGCACTTCTTCTCCCCACATCACAACCACATATCTTAACATGATACAGATTGACAGAAAAGTTCAATCTATCTTGATTTTTGTGAGTCTACCGCACGATTCAAAGCGTCATCTCTCCATATTCACTCAGTTCTCACTGTTCTCAACACCGGAAACNCTCGCCCTACCTACTAAGTGGTTTGGGACGGCACTTAATGCTGAGGGGTCAGTGCTTAGGGAACTGTTTGGGATTGGGCATTTTGTGGCCAAAATTGGGAGCCTCTCCCATTTACAAATTGCATTTTTTGTTAAATTGCAATTATATTGTAGTTCAATAACAATCATTACTTGTCAATTCATGATATGATGTCACCCAGGACACAAAATGATGGCAGAAATAGCTTTTTCAATGACTCCATGAGGGAAAGAGACTCAATTAAACACAGACAAGAAGGGAATGGACCGAGAGTTAATAGCTTATTTAGATTCTTTATTGACCAGACACAGAAATAGACTGATCCTGGAGAACATTCTATGGGCTTCACAGAACAAACAGAAGCTATTGCTGCTAATAGGAGCCCACTGTTGTTTCTGTGGGATAAAAAACAACTTAATCGCAACGTTAACTCTGCTGTTTTAGTGATACGAGCAAAAACAAGGACAGCAATGCTATTCTAATCTGCATCCTAACGATAATGTTTGATTTTTATTTCAGGTTAGAAAGCAGCCCAAAGCAGCTGGTCTGTGTGGAGATGCTGAAAGAATGCAACTACAAGTACGATGGCTTCACGGCTCTACTGTTACTCCCGCTTATCCGATCACAACGACTGACCTAGCTTTGAGTTTCAGGTCGTTCGAAGAGCTCATCACGCTGTTGCGCTTAGATCGGGATCAGAGAAAAAACGCTCGGCCGTTTTCAACCAGGCTGAAGGATACGCCTCTGGAGGAACAGCGGGAAAAACTGGAGACCATGGCCTTCTACCTGAGCCGAGCGGAGAAGGCGGAAAGAGAAGGTAGTAAGCTCTGCTATCTCCTGGATTTAGTAGAGGCAGAAGACAATTTTCATCTGGAGATCAACGTTTAATATTAAGATTTCCTAAATATTAGACTGATAAAATGACAGTTGGAAGACTTGACTTCAGAGTCCTCTGTTTTTAGTTTAAGTTCTTTTTTGTGTGCAGGCTTGTGGAAGCCATCCTGTGAGGAACGTCTGCATTTAGGTCACTACTTCTTCAGTCAGAAGGATCTGTGGCTCAGTTTTTATTTCTACCAAAGCTGTGCTAACAACGAGCGTGGAGGAAGATCCAAACTGGCTACAGAGGCCAGACTGCGCATGGCCGAGATTTACCTGCAGCAAGGTAGGCATCATGCCCAAACATCTGTAGGTGTGGAAACAGAGAAGATTTAGGAGGTTGTGTTCTGTCCTGCAGGTGATCTGGAGGAGTCCAGGCTGCAGGCGGAGAAGAGCCTGAAACAGGCGGAGGAAGGAGGCTGGTTGGACTCAGACGGTCGGCCTATGAAGCTCTGGGCCTGCACACACCTGGGAAGAATCTACTGTTTGCTGGCTGACGCTTCCCTCGCAGCGGCTAACTACAACACAGCCAAGAGGCTGCTGGACCGAGGCTTCAAAGTTGTCACAGACGGTTCGTAGGAGGAGATGTAGGAGTTTTATTAAAGATTTCTGCTATTCCAGTAATTCTACAGTTGGCATCAAGATTTATCCAGTGAGATAAAGGAATCATAGCGCCTCACTGCTTTTATTCAGAGAGTCCAGCTTCCCTGGCCCGTAACCTCAAACATATTTCCTCCAGTTTATTGATCCACTTCTTCACATCTTCTGCACTTAGTTCATGTAAGGAGAGACATCTCCATGCTCCTGAAAGGAGGCTCTGAATCAGAGTCGCAAACTCATAGTGAGAATTAGAAGTGGGTGGCTTCAGTATTTAAAAAATGTTTCATCATGAAGCTCTTTGAGGAAGCTGTGCTGAAAATCTTTAAGCACTTATTAAGGGTTTCGTTTTTCAATCCATTTTATAAAACTGGAAATCCTCCACATGAAATATAAAATATTCCTTGAATGAGAAGCAACCAGACGTGGTGAACATGTTGACCGGATGGGCATTTAGTTATTATTTGAAAACTTTAATGTTTTTCTGGTTTTCAAAAAAGAAGCAAAAACCTGTGAGTGTGGAAAAGGTGTAGTTTTTCGTGTTTGTTTCAGTTAAAGACAAGCTGGCTGAGGCGGAGGTGCTCTTCAGACAAGGACTGCTGCTACAGCGGTTAGGAGATCATCCTGCAGCCAGGCAGGTACGCATCATCAGGAGAAAAAGATCAGTATTTATTGAACTAAACTTCACACAACAAAAAGATTTGTTTAAATATTTGTCTTGTTTTTCGGCCTGTTTGGACAGTATGTGATATCGGCTATATGTTCGCTGTGTTTTACAGGTCTTCAGCCGCTGCATGAAGAACTTCAACATGATGCAGGATACAGAAGGACAGGTGAAGACCTACAAGGCCACAGCCAAGTCCTTAGAAAGGTAGAGGCATTCCCTCATCACCAAACACCAACAGAAAACATCTAGAAAGGTTTATTGAGGTATTTTAAGACAGAGCTTAAACTTTCAGGTCAGGGATCCAACTCATGGTAAAACATGGTGGCGGCTGCATCATACTGTGAGGATGAAAATTTGATTTGATTGTTTTCAGTAAGACCAGTTTGTTTTGAGCCCAAAACACCCCGTAGAGAGTGCAGGAGGATGAGTTCAACAAACAGACAGCTTCACCACGACTACAATGAAGTTGTAGTCCTGATGAAGTTGTCTGTCTGTCAGACAGCTGTGTGTCTGTCGGCATAATTATTCTTTCAGGTTGATGCAGCTTTTTTTAATTAGTTGTTTTTGTCAGGAAGATCAAGTCTACAGCATGGATGTCCCATTAAACCCAGAGATATTTTACCTCAGTCATTAAAAAGAAAAAACATTGCCAAACGGGACATCAGAGGCTTTTTTATCCTCATTGTGCTCATAATCGTAATCATAACCTAGATACAGGATTTTTTTTATTGATTCTCTAACATTGTGAGATAGGGATATTTGACAGAATAAGCATTTTCTCCCTAAACCAGAGGGAAACAGCAGTGACTTTTGACAACTTCAGCATCAGACTGAAAAAAGTCTTGAGGTATTAAACTGAAGACAGAAAAACAAAGAAAGAGACAAGAAATGGGAGCCATTCCTCATTGGAAGAAGAAAGTTGAGCATGGGAAGAAGATGAGAGCAGAATAGACACCAGAGGCTGCAGACACACTGCGTGCCTCTGTCAGGGCAGCCATGCAGAGAAACATGTCCCTCACATAGATCTCTTCTGAACACACCTTTACATTAGGATAACAATTAATTCAGGTTTCGTTTGGCTTTGGTGTGATCGCATCGTTAAGGGCAGATTAGACTTCTGCAACCGCACACATCAAATGTCGATTGGGTCTGGTCGCAAACCGGTTTTGCATGTATGCTTCTGCACCGTCGGTCTGGAATTTCTAGGGAAGCACAGCAGTTTCCCGCCAAAGCACAAGGCGGAGCCTATTCGAGAATTCGCGACACAAGAACTTCAGCAGCGCCATGTGGGAGTGTTCATTTTCATAAACAACAATGGCACGTCTGCAAGACATTCATGGGGATGGATCTAGAGTTGTTAGACATCGAATAGAATATATTTATTTATATAATGTTTCTGAGGCATCGTACAAGTAGTTGTACTTCCAAACCTCCTCGATTAACCTTTTGTCGTAGTCGTCCATTGTAGTTGTTCCTCGATTTTTTAAAATGGCGTGCCCCGGCACCAAATCGAGAAGGACGACCACACTGACAGCCGGAAAGGCATAACAAGGACCATTCACAGCTGCTTTTTGTCTGCGCACTTCCGCTTGAGGTCTGCGGGGGTTTGCAACCGTCCAACGCGTAGTAAGGATTTTTTTGGGGTGCTCGATGATGGTTGCAGAACCTCTGCTCATAAATTGGCCTTTAGGCCATGATATAAACAAATTAGAGTTACCGGTAGTTAGAGTTAGACAGATTTATTTTGAAATTTCATTTTAAACAGCTCTAGACGATTATATTTTTTAAAGTGCAGCCTTGAAAAACAGTAAATAAAAACATAAAAAAGAACAAAATACTAATATAAACAAATGACTGTATATTTAAAGTTCTAAACTTTATATATATATATATATATATATATATATATATATATATA